ATGCCCCTCTATAACCTCCTTGGTCCAGGTTTTTCGCCTCTAGAGTGCGATCCTGGGATGCATTCCTGATCATTGAGTAGGCCTTTTGAGTGCTGAAAATCGGCTTCAAGATCTTCTGTGCGGCAGATGAGGAGGAAAGAGTGACAAAAGTATTAATGTCCCCTCACTTCCATTCTGGCGTAACCAATCTGCGTGGAGAGATTCATGTCCAGACTTTGTAAGTACATTAACAAGTACCGACTGTGCTTGCTCCGTTGATGTGATTTTCCCGGGAACGCCGCTTGGATTATCAGTCTTCTAACCCTCATGCCTCTGTCCACTAGAGAAGCCTTGGAGGTCTTTATGGCCGCATCAGGGAGCTGAATGACCTTCTTCGCAGCCAACGGACCCGGGATTGATAGCCTAAGTTACTTGCTCAGGGAAGAAAGTTCATTATCGACTTTCGTCTATGTCGCTGTGTCCTCAAGAGATTTATGGAAAAGCACAAGTTTTGCGTCGACTATCCCGATTAAAGAGAAACTTTGGCACTGGTCGCTCGGCTTCTACACCATTGACGTAGAGGCAGCTGGCGCAGACAAACGGTCAGGAAAGTTAGCTAGTTGGCTTACCTGGTCGACCTGTAAACCTGTGCATTTAAATAGCCACAAGGACTCGCAGGTGTGACATTGCATACCATGTCTCACATCCGATGTAGTCCAGTTTGGCCCATACCTGCTCTGATCCATTGGCGGCTGCAGAGAGCGGTGTTTCTTGATCTGGGTCATGACTGAGACTGGGCACACCGAAGGGACTGAGTGCCAGTCGACAGAGTCTTACACGCAAAGGTTACGCTAGGGTGAGAAAATCAACAAAATGACACGTGTGAACTGCATAAGTATATTAAGCAGCAGAAGAATTCCTCCACAGATTTTCACGGGGAGAAAACGAAACCGACTTCGAACGTACTGCGCTGTGAGGATTCAAGTCATGGGAAACTTTGCGCCGTTAAGTCGGTCTTCAACGTAATTTGAGAGAACTTGTTCGAGAATAAGCTGACCTCTTAGACCGCGCCAGAGACATCCGACAGATAAGCATGCGATACTTTAGGTAGCTCTTTCTTTTCATTTTTTGCCAATTTTTCGCTGTGTTCCTCCAACTTTTCAAGGTTCTATCACCAGCTCGTTCGATTGTTGCGCATAGTTATTGACTATAATCGGAAACTCGTATTTACATACAGTCAAATATTCTGCTAAACCCTTTGCCGCTAAAACTGTGAGTGCGTGGAATGTCTCAAGTCGTACCAACCGCCAAACATAACAAACAGCCCAATGCTATGGCTTTTTGTCCAAAAAATTTAAACGTCAGCTCTGAATTGTTTGGCGACAGTAAGTGAGGCTTCTATTATATTGCACAATGACTACCATATTTATCATCTTTGTACATTTTTTATTCCGTGTTATTGCAATTTTCCTCTGCTTATCTACTAACTTATCCTCTAATATACGGCGAAACTTACGTACACCTTATTTAAGGCTTTATTGATGGAAGTCGAAGAATGCATGCGAGCAACAAAGAAGGAATGTATGGCCCGAGCTGTACTAAAACACACGAAAACTGTGTTCGGAAGACGCTCCAGACAAGTTATCACCCGGAATGCCATGGTAGTGACTATCCTGTCCCTCAGACCATCCAATCAAGAGGGTAACTTCGCTCATCTGAAAGAGTTGAAGGATTATTGGTTGGGAAAGTAGAGCGCTTTGGGATGCCCACTTGAGCTAGCCGAAGGAGCACACTGAGAGGCTTTTGGTCCCGTTGACGACTTTGGCCTCTGCAGAAGGAATGAATGTCGCATAGCTATTTTGTCATTGCGAGCAACGGCAAACTGCTGTATTGGCGTCTCGACCTCTGCACTAAATCCTAGCGTTACCGTTTATCCACGCCGTCTCCATAAGCCATTTTCTTTCGCTGACCATACGTCGCGCTTGACACTAACTTTTTTTTACCAGAGCTCTTGCTACAAATATCTCAGTAGCAAAGTATATCAACCAGACAGTAAAACTTGTAGAGGCCCACAAAAAGAGTCCATGTGCTGACAAATCTCTATTCCTAGGAGAAATGATGGGATTTCCGGAGGCAACGATAGTGCGGGCAGACACCTACAAACGGAGCATAACAATTTAGGATTTTCTGAGCCGTTTCCTCAAACCGCCTCGAAGGATATGGTGACTACCATCCTACAATTCTTCACAGGACTCCTAAGGTCAAGAAGGTAACCAAGACTGATTAGAATGGGAGAATACAACAGGGTGCTTCACGAACGACGAGAACCACCCGATACGGGACGACCCATGGACACTTTAGATAAGCTTGGCAACTAATATTCTGGAAGTGAATGGCAGTTAGCTATTTCGCATGCTGATGAGGTGGCGGTTGATGGGTACATCGATCCCGGTGATTGGCTGGCAGAGGTATCGTTATCATGTGACATGAAATTGACGGTGCTCAGATGTGGGAATACAATTTCTTAATTACTGAACAGTAATCAGTGTTCTGAAACACGACCGTTTTTTTGAAGAGCGATTATAATTTAATTACCTGGAGTCCTTTGCTAGCTTTTTGGCGTTTCTATGTGATCATTCTAATCTGGTTAGTCTTTTGAGGACTTGCCCCAGTTGCAACGCTCTCGCACGGGCCACAAAGATTCGGACATACTTATAGCTTTCTTGTCAACCAAAGGGCCGCCGTTTGATTTTCCGCGCTTGACATATGCTGAGGCTACCGTCGCTATCAGACGCGCCCACCGATATGGCCATCTAACCAGGATGCTTTATGTTTCCACAAGTGGCCAGACGCCTGCTAGGCAGCTTTAGACATATTGGCTGACAGTGCGGTTGATAGCAGCCCGAGTGTCAGACAATCAACTGGACGTCTGGCAGGGTGTAAAGTCCCGTAAGATATGCGAAATCAGCGCGTTGGGTGCTACCGCGTAACACCGGGGTCAGAGGTGACGGCGATGCG